GACTGGATTCTAAAATGTCCTTAAAAACCTCTTGTTCTTCGTAGCTAATATAACACTCATAATTTTGTTCATTATAGTACATTCATATTCAGAATTAATTTATGTTTATTATTTATATAGTTTATGCCGCGTGTGCGTTGTTCGCTTGTTACATCATGGTGTGTGAAAAGCCACTATGAGCGTCCTTAATTCAGGATGGCGTTCATAAAGTTTTAATTTGACGTTGTTTCAGATTACGCATATCCGTACCTTATCCTATTCTCGACTTTGATGCTAAATGCGGCTCATTTAGCCGCTTACCGCGAACAGACATTTTGTGGGATCATCAAGGAAACCTTCAGATGTTGGCAGAATATTTCTATGTTATTACTGTTCTTGTGTTTGTACTGTTACAGCGTTGCTTCGCTGACTGAATTCACAAATCCATTTTTTCATGGTGGACTACTTGGTTTAAGTCCTATCCCGAGCTTGTTTTATGTATTGACCGTGAGACTCACAAATCCGAGCAAGATTGGAGTGATTCCCGCTTGAAATGTTTTAATTTTGTTATTTTGTACTTTGCAGATTTTGTTGATGCAGTGAAATGATTTTAGTCGAATTATTCGTCGTTTGTTTTAACCTTGACTAGTACCAGTACTCCAAGTTATGTAGATTTTATACTCTCGTTTAAGTTTGTAATTTGTCTTCTTAATTTTTTTTGCAGTGCTCTCTGTGCAGTATTAGTATTGCTTGTTTAGCAATATACCCAGTCTCAGACAGAGATTACTATTTCTGGTGCCCTTCCATCGGTTGTAAACGTTCATAATGCAGTCACGCGCGTGCTTTCTTTGCAGGGCTACGCGACATTACTCGAACACGATTTCACATAATGCATTAAAAATTAACCAACACTTAAGTATTGAAGTTGCCAACTTCAGCTCATTTGAAATGCACTTCATAACATCCTGAAAGCTAGCATTACTGAAAACCGTCCACTTTGATTATAAATTTTAATAATGGCGACTCTTTTAAGAGCATGTAAAGATGTAATGGCCATAAGGTAATGGGAAGTAGTTGTTTTCATCGGTGGTATGAAAAATTGCACTGTAATCGTACTGTGCCTACCGTATGTGGCAAAAGTTCATACTGTATCGCGCAGAATATCAGCTGCGATTACAGTTCAGTAGAACACAAGAAAGCAAATGCAAAACTCAGCTTAAGTGGAAAGTTCAGGTGTGGAAGTATGTTTACGTGCATTTATCGATGTCGCTAAACCGATTTATGCAACAAGTGATAAAACCAGGTAATTAAATGTAAGAAACTGCAAACATAATATAGCTGTCCGTTTTCCGACTAAATTCCGTAATGTGTGCCTGCGTTTTGCTCAGCAGTAAATTTGAAGTTTATGAGAACTTGAACCTAACGAATTTTAATTCCGTGCTTGACAGCACGAATCAAAATGATAGAGCTTTGTTTCATTCAAGATTGTACTGCTCGATGCTGCAATAAAACGAACTACTCTATCCGCTCTGAAGAAAGAAATCGTGTTTTTCTTTCCCCAACCTACCTTACTTTCCATCCTGTATACAATAATTGCAATTCTGAGCTACATTCCTGTCCTGCTCAACTACAATCCCTTACTTTGCATAATGCATTTGCAATAGGAGGTACCCATTGATAGCATTTGATTTTATGCTGAAGTACTTAAGAATGTAAAGTTAAACACTGAGGGTCGTTTGCAAAGTTCAAGGATGTATTGAGACCTGGTTGTTACGTGCTTTGAATAGAGAATAACACTTGTCATTTGATCACGCTTCGTGCAACTCAATGAGTTCATTTTCTTCGCAGCATGTACTCAATGTCAGTGACGTTTCAAACGCAGCTGTTCTATGCCTAGCTGCTTTAGTATTAAACGAAAGATTCCTACATAACATTGCTATTATAAATTTGAGTTCAACATTTAGTTAATTGTTGTTTTACTTTAAAGTTATTTAGCACATATATTTACAGGCTTCTCTGCTAAGGCTAGGTCTAATCTTTTATTAAAACGTTCTTAGTTTGCCGAACGCAGTTGAAAAAGCTTCACTTCTGAATTAGCTGGGAAAGAATAGGCACAAAATTTCCTAATAATCGGTCCTCAAAAGTATGGCGGTTATGGTATAAGGATCAGGAGGTTATAAATGCACCAAAGATTTTTGAGATGCCGAATATACATTACCTTAACATACATGTTATCAAGTTCCAGAACTTTCGCTCCGGTTTAGACTTAAGTCAAAATGTTAAACGTTTTTAACGGGAAGTTCGCAGCTCGGAATTGTTTGGCTCATAGTTCGCCGAGCTTCAGTTTTCAGGCAGTTGGCCTAAGCATTTGATTATGGGTTAAATTTTATGGCCCAAGATAATCTGCGAAAGTGTGTGAACAACACCGTAAATTTGCTGTTTTACGTTGGGACGGTTGAACATTAACTGGGCCCTTGTGGGGCTCTATTTGCTTTGATTTTCGTCGAAGTCTGTGCCTATACTAATATATACCAGCCCGTACTTTGCTTTATCCATGCATAAATGCCGTTCTTCTAGCAGCTGTTTTCACGCGATTCATTGCTAATTTCGAATTGATGTTTATCCTTTGTATCGATGATGCTGCAAGATAGCGGATTATATTATTTGAACCTACTGATCTAAATTACTGGCGTCTGTCATTTGACGTTCAGACGTGCTTTGATCTTTTCCGGGTTTTCGTTTATTGTTTTGTTTTTAGCGTTTATTTGCTAGGATGAATACAAAATGTTTGTGTCACTGCTCGGTGCGGTCGGTCGGCGATTTCCTGACAGCTGTAAACGCTGCTAACGCTTGAATACTGCTCCTTTCTGCCTTCTTATTCTGTTCCTGTTTATTGCTAAATTTACGAATGCGCCCGTGCTAATAGCGAAAACCACATTTAATGCACATTTTTGACTTGACTTGACCTGACAAAATAGCATGTGCTTTAAACTCGTATCTTAGTGGTTTCTGTTTCCTTCAAATTCCTAGCCTGTTTTCACCAATTTTCATTAGTGTGTAGCAAACATTTTCGTATAATTGCTCATCTTTCAGATGCTTCAGTAAACTCTCTTCGTTCTTCGGAGTGTAAATCGAATCTATCTTCTGCTTTAATTATGTCTGCCTTCGAAGATATGCTAGGAAAGTCGTTGTTTTTTCATCGTCATCCAGGGTTACAGGGCTTAGGTTTAGTAACTGAGTAAGACAAATTTATAATGTCTAACCTTTAAAAATTATTAAATTGCCAGATTGATATTGGGCAAAGTTTACTGCTGAAATAGCGATCATTTTCTTCACTAGCCCACGAAAGGGAATCCATTTATAACGACGAATCAGCCTTTCTTTATTAAAAGGGAAAGTTGAAGAATCGACCTAAAGATTCGTCTTCGAAGAACAGAAGTTCCATATTCACTGTCTCCATGATTCTTTTGGACATTAAAGTTTGTAGTAACTATCATTTTTCGGTGTATTTCAAAAACAATTGAATCACTGTTTTGCTTGTTTTAGGTAGGCTAGCATAAACATGCTCGAATGGCGCGAAGAGTCGCATGCTTTGTCTTTCATTGGCAAAAGTTTGCTGCCAACATTATCGAAATTGACCTGCTTGATTCGATATTTTAAAAACAGAATACTTGCAGACGAAAGTAAGGATTTTTCTTATTTATTTAAAAAATACAAGGTGCAATACAATAAAAGGCAGCGTGTTCTATAAAATGCAAAAAGTATAACAAAATGTTAAAGACAGTAGAAAGTAAAATATGCAGCCTAATAGCCGATACTGTTGGTTCGTGTAATAAACTCGCGCCGATAGCTAAAACAAAACACCTGTTGCTGTAGGCGCCCTCTATTGCAACCAAAAACTACTAGCTCTGCGTTGAGCGAAATGGGTCGATGCGTGTATCTGTACTGCGTTGCTTATAAATAAGCCGTTTCTTGGCTGTTTTTTGTATGCTGCACTGACAAGCAAAATACTCTGTTATATATTTCGTGTTTTTTAAAATAGTTTGTATTTTTTATGCGCTAGGCAAACGTATATTCTGGTTTATTATATCGTCAGTGACGCACGCCATACTTTTGATGGATTATGACCCTCTCGTCAAACTCATGGGATAGGTTGTCAAAACCGCAACGGATGTACGGAGTCGTCAGGTAATCTGGCAGCCACACCTCGATGCGAAAGAGGCTAGTGATCTAGCTACAGGAAAATGAGTTGGCTAGAATATGACCGTAAACGCAGATTAATGCCGTAGCTAGCAAGTGGTTCCACTGAAAGTTCTAACAGTGCTCTGTTCTCCCATGCCCAAGGACATGAAGTGTCTGTGGACACTTAATAAACTTAGAGGCCATGCCACAGTTTGTTCGCTCAGTAGCCGTAACACCGACCTTGCGCGTTTGTTGTTGCGCACCAATTTTACTAGTTTTATGCCTGGTCTGCGAAGAAGATAAATTAGTTAATCACAGAGTCAATTGATAAGCAACCGTTGGCAATGGCTATTTGATTTCTGTGAATGCCTGTTGACCAAAATCAAACTCTTTTCAGCTCTAGGGTATAGGAGAGTTTGTAGAACGACATATGCCTATTTATTCTACCCTGCCTGCTAAGTAAGTTGTTGATAGCCTCCCAGGGGAAATATTTTCTCCTAGAAGAGTTTAAACTGTTTTCATCTTTTGTGATTCAGTTAGAAAGATAGCACGTTTTTATGTTCTGAAATTTTTCACAGAGTATTTGGCGATTTACTTGTATCCCTAATTTTGACGCCATTCAGTTTGCAAAGCGAATACAACCGAGATTGTGTGCTGAAAATTCAACACCTTAAAGTAGACTTACGTTGGGTATTATAAGAATTCTTCATCGTGAGTTTGTGACCAGTTTTAATTGCCATGGCTCCAATTAATTTTTAGGTTTCGCCGTGAAAATATGCAGGCCGACATAAGACCACTTGCGGACAAGTTCAGCAATATGTCCTGAAAGGTTTAGAGAGCATCATCATCGAACAGCAGCCCAACCATGACGACATTCAACAGTCCAGCGATGTTGCCAGCGATTAGGCGGCTGTAAGTTTTGTTACTAGCGAAACTGGTATGGCATCAGATAATCTGCCTTTTTCTGCAGTGGTACCTTATGCGTTATAGATTTGTTAATGTTGAAAACTAATTGGCATGAGATGGCATTTCTTCGCCCGTTGCAAAAGAGAAGCGTCGTGTCTTTGTTCACTGAGTTTCAATTGGTATGATGTTCTTCAAGTAGCACTTCGTTGTTTTCGTAATATAATTCGTTCTGTGTGCATGATTCCACAAAATCTCTGCGGAGCCCGTTTTTGCTGCTAAATAATGTATGTCTGTCAATTTCGACGACCCCTTGTCTTTACGGATCGTAGAGGCTGACTACACAGACACCGTTTCACTGTTCTCTACCCTTTGCCAGCGTTTCAGTTTTAGCAGAAATTAACCCTAGCGTGTAGCATATTCCTACCGCACATTTGCCCAAATTATTTTTTGCTGTTTCCAAGTTT